CCAATCCCTTCCTCCCGGCAAGGATCACCACGAATGCCAATCCCTTCCTCTTGGCAAGGATCACCCCGAATCCCAATCCCTTCCTCCCGGCAAGGATCACCACGAATGCCAATCCCTTCCTCTTGGCAAGGATCACCCCGAATCCCAATCCCTTCCTCCCGGCAAGGATCACCCCGAAGCCCAATCCCTTCCTCCCGGCAAGGATCACCCCGAATCCCAGTCCCTTCCTCCCGGCAAGGATCACCCCGAATCCCAATCCCTTCCTCCCGGCAAGGATCACCCCAAAGCCCAATCCCTTCCTCCCGGCAAGGATCACCCCAAATCCCAGTTCCTTCCTCCCGGCAATGATCACTCCGAATCCCAGTCCCTTTCTTCTGTCATGTATTGTCACCCCAAATCCTCGTCCCTTATTCCTTTCCAGTATCACCCCAAATCCCTTCCTCCTTCCCGGTATTGCACCCCATCCCAGTTCCTTCCTCCCGGCAATGATCACTCCGAATCCCAGTCCCTTTCTTCTGTCATGTATTGTCACCCCAAATCCTCGTCCCTTATTCCTTTCCAGTATCACCCCAAATCCCTTCCTCCTTCCCGGTATTGCACCCCAGATCCTTGTCCCTTTTGTCAAGTATTGCACCCTAAATCCTCATCCCTTCCTCCTCCCAATATCACCCCAGATCCTCATCCCTTCTTCCTTCCCAGTATCACCCCAAATCCTCGTCCCTTCCTTCTGCCAAGTATTGCACCCCTAATTCTCATTCCTTCCTCCTTCCCAGTATCACCCCAAATCCTCATCCCTTCTTCCTTCCCAGTATTGCACCCCAAGTCTTTGTCCCTTCCTCCTTCCCAGCATCCCCCCAAATCCTCATCCCTTCCTCCTGCCAGGTGTCCCCCTGAATCCTCGTCCCTTCCTAGCCCCAAACACCCCACCCCGAGCCCCCGGTGGGATTTGGGGGCCGTGTCCCACCTTTCCACAGCCCATCCCCACCGAGCCCCACGTGGGCATTGCTGCTGCACACCCACAACTTGAGCAGGGCCTAAAAATAGTCCTGAGCAGAGCCTGGCTCTTGGCTCGAGGAGAGGGGCAGAGGGGGGGCTGACCCAGATACCCCAAAAATTAAATTTTTACTTAGTTTACTGCTCTAAAATAATCTTTCTTTAGTTCACTTAGGGAGAGTAGTCTTTCTGTTGATGTTATGGAGATTTTTGGGAGGAAAAAAGTCAGTTCTCTCGTGGCTCTTCTACAAATATCACCAAATATCATCGAATAGCAGCTGCCCAGGGAAATTTATTATTTGAAATTTATTATTTGTTATCCTGAAGCCTCTCTTGTTTCCTACAAGCCTTCCCACAGCTTGTTTATGGGTTATGTTCACTTGTGGGGTATTGTTTTAAGGATGAGCTGTTTAAAGGTAAAAGTTCTCATTATCTATCTCTAAAATCATCTTCATCCCTGGGAACAGAGATTTCTTTTTTTTCCTGGGGGCACAGGGTTTCATTTGGGAGGAAAAAAGTCAGTTCTCTCGTGGCTCTTCTACAAATATCACCAAATATCATCGAATAGCAGCTGCCCAGGGAAATTTATTATTTGAAATTTATTATTTGTTATCCTGAAGCCTCTCTTGTTTCCTACAAGCCTTCCCACAGCTTGTTTATGGGTTATGTTCACTTGTGGGGTATTGTTTTAAGGATGAGCTGTTTAAAGGTAAAAGTTCTCATTATCTATCTCTAAAATCATCTTCATCTCTGGGAACACAGATTTCTTTTTTTTTCCTGGGGGCACAGGGTTTCATCACTCTTTTCTTTTTCTCTGTTTAAACTTTTCGTGGGATCACAGCTGCCTTAACATCTGCTTATTTTAGTGTGGAGGTCTTTGCTCAATATTAATTAAACTCTTCATCTCCCAATAGTTCCATGCATTATAGGGAAAAAGAGTCTTTTTCTTTATAGCTTACAAGAGGATTTTAACCCTAAAATTAAGGCATCTCCTCATCCTTCCCATCTGGGACTTCTTTTTCATCTATGTCTTCACGTTGTTCTTTTATGTCTTGTTCCTTCCTCTCACTGGAGGGAGGATTGAAGCACTGAAAGGGTTAACATCTTCCTTGGGGCTTGGGTCACTGGGAGGCCAGGATTTCTCCCTGGACCCGTGGGTGTTTCCTTGACACCTCGGGGGATAATTTGGGATTATAAAAAACCACGGAAAGGGTGAGGTGAGGTTCTGGGGGGTTTAATTATTCCATGGCTTTCTGAAGGGAAGTTTTTGTGGGATTCTTTCTATTCCAATTTGATGTCTTGGAGATCCCTCTGCAGTCGTGGGGAAACTGAGTCACGGCAGCAGGAGGGTTGGGGACACGGGTGTCCCTTTCCTGTGACCCCCTGAGCCGGCCTGGCGGGAGCTGTAGGGTCACTGTAGGGCAAAGGGGATTTGTTCAATGTCCCCAGGAGAAGGGGACGGTTCCAGGGGGGATGAGTTGGGGTTTCCCTCTCCCCCCATCGCCCTTTCCCTCCTTCCCAGCTGCCTGGGATGGGTCTGGTTGGGAAAAGGTTGGGACAGGGGTGGGAAAAATCCTGGATTGTTCGCTTTGCCTCGTGCTGGGGAGGGAAGGAGAGGGGAAGCGCTCCTAGGGCTCTTGGGATAGAAACAGGCCTCAGTTTTCCCCATTCCCCTTGACTCAGTTTCCCCTTGTGCCTCAGTTTCCCCTTTGTGCCTCAGTTTCCTCTTGTGCCTCAGTTTCCCTCTATACCTCTGTTTTCCCCTTACCTCAGTTTCCCCCATTCCCTGTGCTTCAGTTTCCCTCTATACCTGTTTCCCTCATCCCTCAGTTTCCCCTCGTGCCTCAGTTTCCCCGTGGGAGCTGAGCTGAGCCGCCCTTTGGCGCTGCCATTGTCCCAAGTAAAGGGGATTTAGGGAATGGGACCACAATTGTTCCTGCTGCACCCCAGGAAAGCCGTGCCCTGACTCCACAGGGGTGGCAGTGCCGGTGCCAGGAGCTCTGGGCAGGGGTCTTGGCATGGGATGGCAGCACAGGGAGGGGACAGGGAGGGGACACAGAGGGACCCGGGGATGGGATGGGACAGGGAGGGGACAGAGAGGGGACACAGCGGCACCTGGGGATGGGATGGCACAGGGATGAGACAGGGAGGGGACCCAGCGGGGCCTGGGGATGGGATGGCACAGGGAGGGGACAGGGAGGGGACACAGCGGGACCCGGGGATGGGATGGGACAGAGAGGGGATACAGCAGGACCCTGGGATGGGATGGGATGGGACAGGGAGGGGGACAGGGAGGGGACACAGCGGGACCCGGGGATGGGATGGGACAGAGAGGGGATACAGCAGGACCCTGGGATGGGATGGGATGGGACAGGGAGGGGACAGAGAGGGGACACAACGGGACCCTGGGATGTGCTGGGGCATGGAGAGGACCCAGGGGAACCCTGGGATGGGATGGGACAGGGAGGAGACACAGCGGGACACGGGGATGGGATGGGACAGGGAGAGGACAGGGACAGGACATAGCAGGACCCTGGTGAGACAGGGAGGGGACACAGCGGGACCCGGGGATGGGATGGGACAGGGAGGAGACACAGCGGGACACGGGGATGGGATGGGACAGGGAGAGGACAGGGACAGGACATAGCAGGACCCTGGGATGGGCTGGCACAGGGAGGGGCAGTGCCGTGACCCCACAGGCACAGGACCCCACAGGTCCCAGCGGGACCCTGGGATGGGCTGGCATGGCCCAGGGAGGGGACAGTGCGGGACCCGGGGATGGCCAGGGAAGGGCCAGGGAGGGACCCGCAGTGGCGCTCTGCCCGGAGCTGTTCCTGCCGCGGGTCACGCGGCTCCTCGGGAATGCGGCGGGGCCGGGCACTCTGCCCTCACTCCCGCGCGTCCAGCTCCGCTCTCATTCCCCTTCTCCGGGCACCCATCCCGGGGCTTCTCCTGCCTCCCTGCGGGCGGGGCTGAGCCTCGCGGCCCCGGGGCTGCCGGGAATCCTCAGCCCTGTCCCTTGGAGCTGCTCCCGATGGGCTTGGAGCGAAATCCCGGCCCCTGGGAGCTCCTCTTGGAGCATGGGGCTGGAGCGGATGGAAGGGAAGGGAAGGGAAGGGAAGGGAAGGGAAGGGAAGGGAAGGGAAGGGGCTCCAGCCCTGTCCCTTGGAGCTGCTCCCGATGGGCTTGGAGCGAAATCCCGGCCCCTGGGAGCTCCTCTTGGAGCATGGGGCTGGAGCGGATAGGAGGGAAGGGAAGGGAAGGGAAGGGAAGGGAAGGGAAGGGAAGGGAAGGGGCTCACAAGCCACAGCTGCTGCCACCAGCTCCATCAGTGCTGGGAATGCAGCGATCCCTTGGGTCGTGCCAGGCTGGAGCTGAATCCCTTCCCGTGGTGTCTGATGGGGTGGTGCTACCAGGAATGGCTGGTGTGGGATCCCCAGGATCCCTAGGAATGGCTGCCATGAGATCCCTGGGAATGGCTGCAGTGGGATCCCTGGGAATGGCTGCCATGAGATCCCCAGGAATGGCTGCTGTGGGATCCTTGGAAATGAAATGACTGGTGTGGGATCCCTGGGAATGCTGGAGGATCCCTGGGAATGGCTGGTGTGGGATCCTTGGGAATGCCATGGGATCCCTGGCCTGTTCCCTTCCCTCGCTCTGTCCTTCCATCCCAGCACCATCCCAGCCTTTCCTTGTGTTTTCCCCCAGCTCAGGATTCCCAGAAGGGTCCTCCCGCCGGGATTCCCGCTCCTGCTCCCTCATCCCAGCTCTTCCCGTGCCAAGGATGCCCTTCCCGCTGCTCATCCTGGCACTCAGCCTGGCAGGTGAGTGGGGCTGGTGGCAGCGCCCCGCAGGAGATGTCCCAGTGCCACCCGTGTCCCAAGAGAGCCGTGCCCCGAGCTGGCATCTCCTGGATTGGTGCTTCCTGGGGTGACAGCCTCGGGTGGCAGCTCCTGCCAGGGGACAGCTCCTTCCTGCCACGGGATCACTCAATCCTGGTGGATCCCTGTTCCCAGGAGCACTGTTGGCAGTGCCAGTGCAGTTCCAGCCAGGCTGGCTCCCGGTGTTTATTACCTGGACAGAGCCGAGGTGTTGGGGATGTGCCTGGAGCCAGGCCGGCTGTGAGCCCGGTGCCCTCTCCCTGCCCGTGTCTGGGCCTGGCACGGCTCCTGCCCGCCCTCCTCATCCTCCCAGCACGGCGTCTTCCCAAAAATTCCCTGTGCCATCCCTGCCCTCATCACCTTGCGGGATGTGTTGGCCATGGGAAGGGACTGAAATTGTGCCAGTGCACTGGGAAGGGACTGGAATTGTGCCATGGCACTGGGATGGGCTGGAATCATTGCATGGCACTGGGATGGGGCTGGAATTGTGCCAGGGCACTGGAATCAGCTGGAATTGTGCCGTGGCACTGGGATCAGCTGGAATTGTGCCATGGCAGTGGGATGGGGCTGGAATCATTGCATGGCACTGGGATGAGCTGGAATTGCACTGTGCCACCCCGGCTGGCACTGTGCTGGAGCACTGGTGCCACCTAGCGCTGCCAGCCTGGCCAGGGCTGGCTCCTCCTGGGGACCGTGTCCCCACCGCTGCCACCAGCCATCCTGTCCCCCTGGGGACAATCCGGACTCTGTGTCCCAGAGCAGGTTTGGGTGCCCATGGCAGCTCCTGGCAGCTGAAGATGTCCCAGTTTGGTGCTGGATGTGGGATTGTCACCCTTCCAGCCGGGTGGCATGTCCGGTGACAATCCTGGGATGCCACCTGCCTGCATGTCCCTCCCATGTGTCCCTTCCATGGGCATCCCTCGGTTTTCTTGGATGTTACCCAGATTTGGGTGCTCCTGGCAGCTTAGGTGCCCCAGTTTGGTGCTGGATGTGGGACTGTCCCCTTCCCATCAGCGTGGCATGTCCAGTGACAATCCTGAGATGCCACCTGCCCATGTGTCCCTTCCCTGGGCATCCTTCAATTTTTTTGGATGTTATCCAGGTTTGGTCCTCCTGGCAGCTGAAGGTGCCTCTGGTTTGTCTGGGATTGTCCCCCTTCCATCAGGGTGGCATGTCTGGTGACAGTCCTGAGATGCCACCTGTCCATGTGTCCCTCCCATGGGCCTGCTTGGGTGTTATCCATATTTGGGTGCCTGTGGCTGCTGCTGGCAGCTCCTGGCAGCTGAAGGTGCCCCAGTTTGGTGCTGGATGTGGGATTGTCCCCCTTCCATCAGGGTGGCATGGCCAGGGACAGTTGTGGGATGTCACCTGTCCATGTGTCCCTCCCATGGGCATTGCTTGGATGTTACCCAGATTTGGGTGCTCCTGGCAGCTTAGGTGCCCCAGTTTGGTGCTGGATGTGGGACTGTCCCCTTCCCATCAGCGTGGCATGTCCAGTGACAATCCTGAGATGCCACCTGCCCACGTGTCCCTCCCACGGGCATCCCTCGATTTTCTCTGGCACCATCCAGGTGCAGAATCCAGGAGGTTCTCCTGCAGCTGTCACAGCGCGTCCCCGTCCCCTCCCGCAGGTGCCATGGAGATCCAGGTGCCGGAGGAGCCCGTGGTGGCCCTGTTTGGCCACGACGCCACCCTGCTGTGCTCCTTCTCTCCCGACGCCAACTTCAGCGTGGCCGAGCTGAGCCTCATCTGGCAGCTGACGGACACCAAGCGCCTGGTGCACGGCTTCTCCGGGGGCCGCGACCGGCTGCAGGACCAGGGTCGCGGCTACGCCAACCGCACGGCGCTCTTCTACGACCAGCTGCCACGGGGCAACGTGTCCCTGCTGCTGCGCCGCGTGCGCATCGCCGACGAGGGCAGCTTCACCTGCTTCGTGCGCGTGCGCGACTACAACAGCGCCGCCGTCGCGCTGCAGGTGGCGGGTGAGGAGCACGGGAGGTCAGGAGTGACGGCTGCGCCGCCCCAAAATGTTCCCTGGGCAGTGCAATCCGTGCCCTGCTGAGGCTCCTGGCTGAGGGGCCGCCTTAGCCAGCTGAGGATGGGTTTAGCAGCTGGAAGAGCTTGTCCCGATCCTGGCTGGCCCAGCTCCCCATCCCAATCCTCACTCCGGTCCCCTCTTATCTCCTGCTGTGCCTCCCCAAAATATTCCTTGGGCAGCGCGATCCACGCCCTGCCTCAGTGGAGAGGGGCCACGTGTGCCAGCAGTGACCCTCAGATGAGGATGGATTTAGCAGCTGGAAGAGTCCATCCCAATCCTGGCCGGCCAAGCTCCCCATCCCAATCCTCACTCCTGTCCCTGCTTGTCCCCTGCAGCACCTCCCCAAAATATTCCCAGGGGAGGGACAGAGAGCGGCCACCTCGGCCAGCAGTGGAGGATGGGTTTGGCACTGCAAGATCCCAATCCCAGCTGGCCCTGTTCCTGATGCCAATCCTCTCTCCTGTTCCCCTTTGTCCCCCACAGCACCTCCCCAAAATGTTCCCTGGGCAGTGCAATCCGTGCCCTGCTGAGGCTCCTGGCTGCGAGGCCACCTTGGCTGGCAGTGACCCTCAGCTGAGGATGGGTTTAACAGCTGGAAGAGTCCATCCCAATCCTGGCTGGCCCAGCTCCCCATCCCAATCCTCACTCCGGTCCCCTCTTATCTCCTGCTGTGTCTTCCCAAAATATTCCTTGGGCAGCACAATCTGTGCCGTGCCTTGATGGAGAGGGGCCACGTGTGCCAGCAGTGGCCCCCAGCTGGGGATGGCCTTGGCACTGCAAGATCCCAATCCTGGCAGCTGCAAGATCCCAATCCCGGCTGGCCCCGCTCCTGATGCCAGTCCTCTCTCCTGTCCCCCCTGTCCCCACAGCTCCCTACTCCAAGCCCAGCGTGCACCTGGAGCCCAGCAAGGACCTGAAGCCGGGCGACGTGGCCGAGGTGACGTGCCACGCGTCCCGCGGCTACCCCGAGGCCAGCGTGCTGTGGCAGGACAGCCGGGGTGCCAACCTGACTGCCAACGTCACCACGTGGCAGGTGGCCAACGAGGAGGGGCTCTTCGAGGTGCGCAGCGTCCTGCGCGTGCTGGTGGAGCCCAGCGTCACCTACTCGTGCCTGGTGCTCAACGCCGCGCTGCGCCAACACGGCCACGCCTCTGTCACCATCACGGGTGAGCCGGGGACAGGGAGGTGGCACTGCCACCCAGAGCCAGCCAGGAGAGCTGGGGGAGGTGGCATTGCCACCCAGAGCCAGCCAGGAGGCATTATTAGAGGTGACTGTGGTGGCACCCATGAGGGCTGGGGGAGGTGACACTGGTGACACTGGCACCCAGAGCCAGTCAGGAGGCATTGGGGGAGGTGACTGTGGTGGCACCCAGGAGGAGTGGAAGAGATGACTGTGGTGGCTCTGGCACCCAAAGCCATCCAAGGTGGGTCTGGAGAAGGTGACCTTGGTGGCACCCAGGAGGGCTGGGGGAGGTGGCTGTGGTGGCACTGCCACCCAAAGCCACCCAGAAGGGGCTGGAGGAGGTGACACTGCCACCCAAGGCCACCCAGGAGGGGCTGGAGGAGGTGACACTGCCACCCAAAGCCACCCAGGAAGCATTGGGGAAGGTGACTGTGGTGGCACCCAGAAGGGTTGGGGAAGGTGACCATGGTGGCACCCAGGAGGGGCTGTGGGAGGTGGCAGTGCCACCCAGAGCCAGCCAGAGGGTGGATGTTGGGAAGGGATTCCCGGCTGGGCTGGCATTCCCAGAGCAGCCGTGGCTGTCCCTGGATCCCTGGCAGTGTCCCAGGTGGGGCTTGGAACAGCCTGGGACAGTGGGAGGTGGCACTGCCCGTGGCAGGGGGTGGCAGCAGGTGACCTTCAGGACTTCCGTGGAGACATTCCATGCCCCCAGGAAGCAGTTCCTGGGGCTGGGTTGTGATCCAGCCTGGATGTGGGATCATCCTGGATCACTGTGGGTGGGGGTCACCCTCAGTGCTGGAGCATCCTGGGTGTGGGATCACCCTGGATATGGGATCACCCCAGCAATGGGATCACCCTGGCTATGGGGTCACCCTGAATATGGGATCATCCTGGATGTGGAATCATCCTGGATGTGGGATCACCCCAGATGTGGGATCACCCTGGATGTGGGATCACCTTGAATCATCCTGGATGTGGGGTTACCCTCAATGTTGCATCATCCTGGGTTTTAGGTCATCCTGGGTGTGGGATCACCCTGGATCTGGGATCACCCTGGCAATGGGATCACTCTGGATATGGGATCACCCAGCTGTGGGATCACCCTGGCAGTGGGGTCACCCCTCGTGGATATGGGATCACCCTGGATATGGGATCACCCCAGCAATGGGATCACCCTGGCTATGGGGTCACCCTGAATATGGGATCATCCTGGATGTGGGATCACCCTGGATCTGGGATCACTCTGGATATGGGATCATCCTGGCAGTGGGGTCACCCCACCATTCCCGGGTGCTGATCCAGGCCCTTTTCCGTCCCTCCCCGCAAGGCCAGCCCCTGGCATTCCCGGCGGTGGCCCTGTGGGTGACAGTGGCCCTGGCCGTGTGCGTGGTGGCCCTGCTGGGCGTCCTGGCCTTCGTGTGCCACCAGAAGATCCGGGAGAGCTGCCGGGAGGACGAGGAGCGCGCAGGTGAATCCCGGGAAAGCTGGGAGGGGACGGATGGGGGTGGCAGCGGAGGGACACCGGGGAGTGGCACTGCCACGCCTGTCCCCTTTCCCCGTGGCCGTGACATCTCCGGCACCTCCGGGCTCCTTTCCCACGTCCCTTTCCCATTTTGGGTCGTATTCCACATTTTTATGGGGTGCTGTTTGTACCACAGGGGGATTTGTTCCCAAAAAACGTCCTGGGCTCTGCCACCCTCAGGAATTACCTTTATTCCATGGATTCTGCTCCCAGTTTCCCTCTGGAATTACCTTTTTTCCATGGATTTTGCTCCCAGTTTCCCCCTGGAATGACCTTTTTCCCATGTTTTTTTTTAACATGGATTTGCTCTCAGTTTTCCTTGGGAATTGCCTTTTTACCATGGATTTTTTCCATAGATTTTGCCCCCAGATTCCCTCAGGAATGTCCTTTTTCCATGGATTTTGCTCCCAGTTTCTATTGGGAATTACTTTTTTTCTATGGGATTTTTCCCATGGGTTTTGCCCCAGTTTCCCTTAGGAATTACCTTTTTTCCAAGGGATTTTTCCCATGGGTTTTGCCCCCAGTTTCCCTTAGGAATTACCTTTTTTCCATGGTTTTTTCCCATGGATTTTGCTCTCACTTTCCCTCAGGAATTACCTTTTTTAACATGGATTTTTTCCATTATTCTTGCCCCCAGTTTCCTTTGGGAATGACCTTTTTTCCATGGATTTTCCTCCCAGTTTCTCTTGGGAATGACCTTTTTTCCATGGGTTTTTTGCACGAATTTGCTCCCAGTTTCCCTTGGGAATTGCCTTTTTTCCTTGGGTTGTGATCCCAGTTTCTATTGGGATTTACCTTTTTTCCATGGGAGTTTTCCCATGGATTTTGCCCCCAGTTTCCTCAGGAATTACCTTTTTTTCCATGGGATTTTTCCCATGGATTTTTCCCCCGGTTTCTATTGGGAATTACCTTTTTTCCATGGATTTTGCTCCCAGGAACAGCAGCAGGGGGTGGGAGCCTCCCAGGATGCCAGTGGGTGCTGGAGGGAGGGAAGAGCCTCCCAGTTTGGGGTATCCCAGATTTTGGGGGATCCAGGGATCCTCTCCAGGCGGTTTTTAGCTGTGCCAAACCCACGGTGTCCCTCGGAGCTGGGGCTTTTCCCGCTGGGATTTTCGGGAATGTGGCGCCCTGGAAAGGCCAGGATGCTGCAAGGGGCACCCCCAGAATCCCAGGAATGGGGTTCCCACCTCGGGATCCTTGTTTTCCAGGGCCAGAGGAGCGGGATGAGGAGGGGGAGGAGCCCAAGACAGGTGGGTGCCCCGTCCTGGGTCGGGGTGGCGCTCCGGGCGCTCGGCCCCTTCCCTATTCCCGATTTTCTGACAGCCCTGACCCTGGATAAACCTCCCCATTCCCAAATCAAACCTCCTCATTCCTTAATAAACCTCCCCATTCCTCAATAAAATCTCCCAATTCCCAAATAAAGCCTCCAAATTCCCCAATAAAGTGACAGAATTCCTTAATCAAACCTCCCAAATCCTTAAGAACCCTCCCCATTCCTTAATAAAATCTTCCAATTCCTGAGTAAAACCTCCCAAGTTCCATAATAAAAGCACCCAATTCCATAATAAACCTCCCCATTCCCAAATCAAACCTCCCCATTCCTTAATAAAACCTCCTCATTTCTTAATAAATCTCCACGTTCCTTAATAAATCTCCCCATTCCTCAATAAGATCTCCAAATTCCCAAATAAAATCTCCAAATTCCTTAATAAAATGACAGAATTCCTTAATCAAACCTCCCCATTCCTTAATAAACCTCCCAATTCCTTAAGAAAATGACAGAATTCCTTAATAACACCTCCCAATTCCTTAATAAACCTCCCCATTCCTAATAAAATGACAGAATTCCCAAATAAAACCTTCATATTTCTTTAATAAAATGACAGAATTCCTTAATAAAATCTCCCCATTCCTTAAAAAATCCCCTAATTCTGAATAAAACCTCCCCATTCCTCAGTTAAATGACAGAATTCCATAATAAAATCTCCAAATTCCATAATAAAACCTCAAATTCCTTAATAAAATGACAGAATTCCTGAATAAAACCTTCCTATTTCTTTAATAAAATGACAGAATTCCTTAATAAACTTCCCATTCCTTAATAAAATCTCCCAATTCCTTAATAAAACCTCCCAATTCCTGAATAAAATGACAAAATTCCTTAATAAAATCTCCCAATTCCTGAATAAAACCTCCTGATTCCCGAATAAAACCTCCAAGTTCCCCAGTAAAATCTCCAAATTCCTTATTAAAATGACAGAATTCCTGAATAAAACCTCCCAGTTCTTTAATAAAATGACAGAATTCTCAAAGAAAGCTTTCCAATTCCTTAAAAAACCTCCCCATTCCTTAATAAAATCTGCCAAGTCCCAAACAGAACCTCCCAATTCCTTAATAAAATGCCAGAATTCCCAGATAAAATCTCCCAGTTCCTTAACAAAATGACGGGATTCCTTAATAAAACCTCCCAATTCCCTAATAAAATAGCAAAATTCCCAAATAAAACCTCCCAATTCCGTGATTTTCCAGCATCCAGCAGCTCCACGATGTTCCTGGGGATTCCCTTTATCCACTGGCACAGGACCAAACCCTTGGAATTCTGCAGGGAAATTGGAAACGGGGTCACTTTTGGGGTTTATCCCCCAAAAATGGGATTTTTGGAGCTGTTTACTTTGAGAATGGGATGGGATTGACCACGGGATGTTTTTCGCTTTTCCCAGCTCTGCAGCTGCTGGAAAACACGGAGAGCAGAGAGGGTGAGTGGATGTTTCTGGCAAATCCGGGATCATTCCCCTTTTCTCCCTAAAATCCATGTGGGAAACATTTGTCAGGTTTCAAGGGGGATTTTCCCTTCCCTGTTTTCATTTTCCCATGGATTTTCCATCAGCTTTTCCCAGATTATGGTTTTCCATTTCCCAGTTTTTCCTGGTTTTTCCTGGTTTCTCCCAGCATCCAGCACCTCCTGCATCCCTCATCCCTCCTTTTCCCCACTGCTTTGGGATTGGGAAAAGCCTCCCCACACCCAACCCTGGAAGGAATTTGGGGGTTTTTTTGGAGTTGCCATGGATTTTCTGGGATGATGGGAGTTGCTGGGGTTGGAAAAGGATCCGGAGTTTTCCAAGCCTGGAAAAGGATCCCGAGTTTTCTGAGCCTAGAAAAGGATCCAGAGTTTTCCCAGCCTGAAAAAGGATCTGGATTTTCCCAAGATGCAGCCCCAATAATCCATTAATCCATTAATGTACTAATGTATCAATTTATCGAGGCATCAGTCTATTCATGTATCAATTCCTTTATTTATTTATTTAATTACTAGTCCATTAATCCATTACTTCATTAATCAATTGATTCATTAATTCCTTAATAATTGATTTATTAATTCATTAATCTGTTCTTCATTAATTCATTAATCTGTTGATTTGTCAGTGCCATCCCTGCAGTTCCCTATCCCGTGCCCGGCAGTTCGATGTTTTCCCTCTCGATTCCCTTTCCCCCGCCCAGGTCGGGAGCAGGAACAGGAGCAGGAGCAGGAGATCGATTGACGGCAGCCCCGGAGCCCCGGCCCCGCCCGCGGGTCCCCGAGCGAGCGGCGACACCGCCGGGCAGGTGACACCGCCGGGCAGGTGACACCCCCGTGCAGGTGACACTCCCGGGGAGGTGACATTTCCAAGCCGGTGACACCCTCGGGGCAGCGACAACCCTGGGGCTGCGAAACCCCTGGGTGGTGACACCCCTGGCTCGGTGACACCCCCGGCTCGGTGACACGCCCGGCTCGGTGACACCTCCAGCCTGGTGACACCCCCGGGGCGCCCCAGCGAGGAGGACCCGGAGCTGCCGCCTCCCCCATCCCATTCCCATTCCCCGCCTCCCGTCCTTCCCGGGAAAGGTGGGGTGAGGATCTGCCCGGTGTCCCCTTGTCCTTCTGCATGTCCTTGTGTCCATCCCAGGGGGACATTCCTGTTCCCTGCTCTGGTGCTGCTCCGGGCACCTTTCCCCACCCTTCCTGAGCCCAGAGCCTCGGGAATGGCGGCCGGAGCGCGGGGGGCTCCGGGAGCCCCTTCCCCACGCTCCTTTTCCCGCTCCCTGAGTCCCTCCGGACTCGTCCTGGCCTTAAATGCTGGATCCCGGCGGGGTTTGTCCCACTGGAACGATCCCAGGGCGTTTTTGGGAAGGGGGCACCCGCTGGCCGGGTGAGGTCCTGCCATGGGGACATCTCTGGGGACATCCTGAGCTCATCATTCCTGTGGGATTGGTGGCTTTGGGCGTGTCCCGGGGTGTCCCTAGCGCCGCTGGGGACATGGGGACACCCCGAGTGCTGTTGGAGCATCCCTGTCCCGCTCCAGAGCGCGGGAAGTCCCCAGGGGCTCCTTGGGTCGAGTCCTTCTTTAAAATCCGGGATCTGGAGGGTTTCTCGTGCCTTGACAAATAAATCTGGGACCGTGTTGGTCGATCCCTCCCGGCTCCATGTGCTCCATGGGGTTTGGCCAGGAATGGTGTAAGGATTGGGATTCCAGGAGGAAAAGATTCCCTGGGCCTGTCAGAAAATGCCCCAGGGATGCCCAAGCTGGCTCCTAAATTAAATCCTGCTGCTGAGATGGGATGGAAATTCCTGGGAGATCCTTCACAATGGGGTGGGAATTCCTGGGAGATCCTTCTTAATGGGGTGGGAATTCCTGGGAGATCCTTCTCAATGGGGTGGGAATTCCTGAGGGATCCTTACCCATGGGGTGGGAATTCCTGGAGGATCCTTCCTGGGGCCCTTCCTGAATCCCTGTGGGGGATGGTTTTTGGTTGTCCTTCCCCACGCTCGGCATCCCAATGGGAGAACATTCCCAAAATCCAGCCTGCGAGAAGCGTGCTGGCCTCCAGCTGGGATGGAGAGGGATGGATGGTGGATCCATCCTGGGGTTTGATCTCCAGCCCAAATGAAGAGTGGCTCTGCCCCTTAGAGCCACGCCCTTAGAGCCACGCCCTTATGGCCACACCCATACGGCCACACCCTCGGATCCCCTCTTTGCCCGCTCCTGGCGCTCCCTGGGGCCCTCTTTCATGGGATGTAGGAAGCCCGCGTGGGGCCATCGGGGCCAGCCAGGCCCTGCCTCACCCTCCCACAGCTGGCCGAGACCCGCGAGGCTCTCCCGGACATGTCCTTGTCATTGTTCCTGTCCCCTGGATCCTGCCGGGAGCTGGGGACCTGCCAAGCCCGGTCCGTGCCGGGATGGCACTCCAGACTCCGCCCACCCGTGCCCGGTGTCCTGAAGGCAGATGGGAAAATAGAGCTCCCCGGGAGCACTGCATCCATGCCTGGCATCAGGAGGGAGCATAGGATATTCCCGTGGGACCCCAGGATGGTCCCAAGCTGGTCCTCCCCAGTATTCCTGAAAAATAAAATATCAGTCAGATCCAGCACAATGTGAGGGAAAAGCTTGTTTCATCCTGTTCGGATCAGGGTCGGATCAAGCGGAATTCCGTTCATCCTGTGGTCCTGGCTCTGGGATGACACCTGGATGGATGGATGGATGGATGGATGCTGTCCCCATCGCAGGATTAGTGTCACTCCAGGCTATTTTTAGGATCATTCCCTATTTTAAACTGCAGGTTAAATCCCCCGGTGACACTCAGCTCCCGCGGGGGATTAACACGGAAAGAAGGATTTGGGATTTGCTCCCCCTGTTTTCCTCCCTTGCTGAGGCTGGCGGAGCTTTTCCAGCTTGGAGGGGGAAAACTCCCCCCAGTTTCTCAGGAATATCCCCAGGGATTCACCCTAAATTTCCTCCCCTGTTTATAGGGGGAAAATCCCCCCAGTTCCCTGGGAACATCCCCAGGGATTCATCCCAAGCCTGCTTTCCTGCTTGTAGGGGAAAAATTCCCAGGAAACTGGGAAGGATTCCACCCACAAGCAGGGGAGGAGGTTTGGGATGAGGGAATATGGGGGGAATTGTCCCCTCCAAGCACATGAGTGTGTTCGGGATGAATCCCTGAGGATATTCCCAGGGAACTGTGGGGGATTTTTCCCCCTACCAAGAGGAGAGGAGGTTTGGCATGAATCCCTGGGGATGTTCCCAAGGAATTGGGGGGAATTCCCAGGAGCTTCCCAATAAAATCCCAGCTAGAATGTTCCCACCCAGCTCAGCAGATGTGGGACAGCTGGAGACCCATCCTTGTTTTTATGGAATTTTGGGGATTTTTGCTGCAGGCCAAGCCGGAAGTTCCTACTGGGGATTGGGATTGGTTGCTCCTTATCCTGGATTTTGGGCTGGGATCAGAGGGGTGGGATCTGGTGGGATCTGATGGGATCAGAGGGTTAAGATATTGGGATCAAAGGGATGGGATCTGATGGGATCCAAGGGTTGGGATGTCAGGATCCAAAGGGTTGGGATCTGATGGGATGCTAGGGAAGGGATCTGATAGGATCAGTGGTTTGAGATCCAATGAATCAAAGGATGGGATTGGATAGGATCAAGGGCTTGAGACCCAATGAGATCAAACAATGGGATTTGGTGGGACCCAAGGGATGGGATCCAATGGGATCAAAGGATAGGATCTGATGGGATCCAAAGGATGGGATCTGATGGGATCCAGGCCTTAAGATCCAGTGGATCAAAGAATGGGATCTGATGGCCCCTCCATCCCCACAGGGCTTTGGGAAGAGGATTGGGAAGCGGATCCGAGCCCGGGATGGAGAGATCCAGGCCCGGATCCCACCAAAACTGCTCCCAAAATCCCACAAACCCAGCTCCCAAAATTCCCTAAAAGCCAGCTCCTAAATAATTCCCAAACTTCTCCCAAAGCTGTTATTTTTGGGATAACAATCCCTGGACCTTCCTGAGCGTTCCCGGTTAATCCCCTATTGATCCCAGCATTATTAGGGGATTTATTCCCATCGGGGATCACCAGCAGGATTTTTCCAGGAAAAAGGCTGGGAAGAAACCCTATTGATCCCATTCCAGAAATTCCAGAAAGGATGGACCCTTCCCATGGGAATTTTTGGGATTTTGAATGGGATTTTTCCACCCAAGGATTTTAATCATTGCTTTCCCCAGCACAGAACGCCCGGGAATGATTCCAGACTCAAAGGGATGGGAAGGAAGAAGAGATACCGGGAAAACCAGGATGTCACAAGTCCAGGACACTTTGGTGGCCCTGAGGGGACCCCAATCCATGATTCCACCTTGGCTCAGAGTCACAAGCCAGGGACATTCCCAAATCCTCCATGGGGACACCCCAATGTCACAATTCCAGGTGGTATTGGTGGCCCTGAGCAGAGATGGACGCCGGGATGGACATTCCAGAGTCTCCATGGTGGCTCCATGGGGACACCCCAATGCCACAAGTCCAGGACACTTTGGTGGCCCTGAGGGGACCTCAATCCATGATCCCACCTCAGCTTGGAGCCACCATCCAGGGACTCCCAAATTTCCTCCTCTTTTTTGGAAATCCACCTCAGGGACACCCAAGTTTTTGGAAAATTTCCTCTCTTTTGGAAATCCACCTCAGGGACACCCGAATTTCCTCCCTTTTTTGGAAATCCAGCCTAAGGACTCCCAGATTTCATCCTTTCTTTTGCAAATCCACCTCAGGGACCCCCAAATTTCCTCCTTTTTTTGAAAATCCATCTCAGGGACCCCCAAATATCCTCCTCTCTTTTGGAAATACAGCCTAGGGACACCCGAATTTCCTCTTCTCTTTTAGGAATCCACCTTAGGAACTCCTGAATTTCCCCCTTTTTTCGCAAATCCACCTCAGGGAAGTCCCCCCCAGCGCTGCCAAATCCCGAGCCGGGAAGGGACAGACCCGGGCCAACCCCTTCCCTTTCCGTGCTCAGCGTTATCCCGGGATTTCCCTACCTCGCGGAGCTCCTTGGCCACCTCCTTGAGCTCCCGCAGGATGCCCTCGAGCTGCCCGATCACCATCCTCATGCGGCCGCGGATGCGCTCCCGCTCTCCCTCTCCCTCGCTACGGCCGCTGCCGGTGCCGGTGCCGGTGGCGCTGCCGGTGCTGCCGGTGCCGCTGGCGGGCCGCTCCGTGCGCTGCGCATCCCGGCGGCTCCGCGAGTCCATCGTTCCCTAGGCGGCCGGGCCGGTGTCCATGCCGCTGCTCCCCGCCCGGCCCGGCCCGGGCAGCTCTCACCATCTTAGCGCCGCCGCTCACGGCTGCCCGCGGGAGCGGCGCGCACCATGCGGGGACACTCCGCCGGTGGCCCTGCGGTGACACCGCTGGTGGTGGCAGCGGGAGGAGGAGGAGGAGGAGGAGGAGAGGATGATGTTTGCCGGGAAGCGGAATTCCAGCGGGAAAGGGAGGCGCGGTGTCGCCGAGGAGGGGTGGCGGGTCCGGCGTTGGCGGCGGGGGTGTCCGGCTGTCCTCCTGCGGGGACAGAGGGACAAGGGACGGGGAGATCCTTGGGAAGGGCTCTGGCCGCGCCTCCTCCCCCCAAATTGTGGGGGGCAAGGATGGGGCCTGGGAATGTCGCTGGGAATGTCACCCCCTGTGGCCTCCATAAGCCCACCCCAGGCTGAGCCTGAGCACGGTGGGAGCTCTTGGGGATGGACACCCAGAGGGACATGGGGACACCCAGGGGGACAGAGGGACACACACAGGGACATGGGGACACAAACAGGGACAGGGGACACACAAAGGGACAGAGGGAGACCCAGGGGGACAGAGTGATGCAGACAGGGACAGGGGGACACCCAGAGGGACAGACACGAGGACAGAGGGACACCGACAGGGACAGGGGACACACACAGACAGAGGGACACGGACAGGACACCCCGGGGACACTGGGACTCTGCACTCACCGGCGCGCTCCGGCCGCTCCCGGGCTCCGCTCCGAGCTCTTCCCGCTCCTGTTTTCCCCTGGCTCCTTCCCTCGCTTCCTCCCCCTCCTCCTCCTCCTCCTCCTCCTCGCCGTGGGCTCCCGCCTCCCTCAGGGCTTTTCCACGGGGGCCGGGGCCGCTCTGCTCCGCTCGCTGTCGCGGGGGGGACACGTTACCGGCGGGGACAGCCCGGCGGGGACAGCCCAGCGGGGGGTGGCAGCGGCCCCGGGGCCCCTCCCGGAGCTTTTCCCGCCGCCATCCCTCCTCCGGATCCCGGCCCCGCCCCGGCCGCGGCGGGGGGTGGAACGCGCCGTGCCCCCGAGTGCCCCCCGGGAACCGGGAACGGCGCGGGGGGACCGGTACCGCCAGCCCTCAGTCCCGGTACCGACATCCCCCATCCCCGGTACCGGCATCCCTCAGCCCCGGTACTGCCATCCCCCGTCCCTGGTACCGGCATCTCCCGTTCCCGGTACAGGCATCCCCTAGCCCCTGTTCCCGTGTCCTCCGGGGCTCCGGGGATGGCGGGTGCCGGTATCCGCAGCTGCCAGCCCCGCTCTCCGAATCCTCCCTCCCCGGTTCCCGAATCCTCCAGCCCTGAATTCTCCATCCCCTCTTCCCGGATTCCCCCTTCCCGCTCCCCGCATCCCCCTGCGTCTGTCCCCGCCGCTCTCACCCTCCATCCCCGGAGCCTTCATTCCCTACTCCTGAATCCTCCATCCCCGGTTCCTCCATTCCCTATTCCTGAATCCTCCATCCTCGGCTCCTCCATGCCCGGTTCCTCCATCCCCGATTCCGCTCCCTGAATCCTCCATCCCCTCCGCTCTCATCTTCCATCCCCGGTTCCCTCATCCTCCATCCCCGGTTCCCTCATCCTCCATCCCCGGTTCCCTCATCCCCATTCCCCTCTCCCCGGTTCCTCTCTCCGGCACCCCCGGGACGCACCGGCGGCGCTGCGAGCTCGGCAGGGCCGGGCTGTCCCCGTGCTCCGGGCGGGCGGAGCCTCCCCCGGTGTCCCCATCCCCGCTCCCGCTCCCTCGGGACGCACCGCCCCCGGTTCCCTCATCCTCCATCCCCGGTTCCCTCATCCCCATTCCCCTCTCCCCGGTTCCTCTCTCCGGCACCCCCGGGACGCACCGGCGGCGCTGCGAGCTCGGCAGGGCCGGGCTGTCCCCGTGCTCCGGGCGGGCGGAGCCTCCCCCGGTGTCCCCATCCCCGCTCCCGCTCCCTCGGGACGCACCGCAGCATCCCCCCGGTCCCGCACGCCCGGACCCCCCGTGCCCGCTCCCGGTGCCCCCCGGACGCACCGGCGGCGCTGCGGGCTCAGGGCCGGGCTCTCCCCGGGCTCCGGGCGGGCGGAGCGGGCCCCGGGCAGGGCCATGAGCGGCGGAGGGCCCGGCCCGGCCCCGCTCCGGCCGCAGCCTCCCCGCGCTCCGCCCGGCCCCGCGCCGGCGCTGCTGTGTCACCGGAGGGGCCGGGCCTGCGCCGGGAAACGGGAATTAAAGGCACCGGGAGCGGGAACGGAGCGGGGATGGAGCGGGAACGGAGCGGGGATGGAGCGGGAACGGAGCGGGAACGGAGCGGGGATGGAGAGGGAATGGAGAGGGAATGGAGTGGGGATGGAGAGGGAATGGAGAGGGAATGGAGAGGGGATGGTTTGAGAATAGGATCTCGGGAAACTGAGGCAGCACTGGGGGTAGTCCCTTGGGATCTGTCTCCCTTTTCCTGCTTTTTCCCCCTTCTTTCAAAGATGCTCCCTACAACTCCACGCCAGGGGGATTTGGGGATTATTTTTGTGGGATCTGGGAAAAACCCAGATGGGATGGGGGAGAGAGATCCCAGAAAAGGGAAACATCCATGGAGAGATGGATG